CATCTGTCCATATCCATAATCCTCCAACCAAGATGGTTCCAACATTATTGTTTTCTGCTCAAAAATCCTACTGAGAGTCTCATAAATCAGATGTGTTTGTTTCTGATATATAGCAAACTTACATCTGCCTGTTTATTGCTTTGTTAATCATCTTTATACTTGTCTGTTTATTCATGCACTCCTTTATTCCCTCTACTAATCTTTTCCATCCTAGATTACCTAAGGCGAGCTCACCTGCTGCAAAATGTAGAGAGTCTCATTATCTCTGCCACCTGAGGAGTGTGTGTCAGTGTGTATGAGCAATTGTGTGTCCCTGTTCGTTGTTGTAGAGGTTTTGGGTGGGAAGGGGCCCATATGCGCAAAGTGCGTTGTGTGTGTGTTTGTGTGTGTGTGTGTGTGTGTTTGTGTGTGTGTCTGTGTGTTCTGTTTGTCATCCCAAAAAGAGTGGTCATCTCACAGCTGCTCTGCAATTTATGTCTATAATTACAGGGTACATGTGGAGGAAAATGGCGCACTAAGCCAAGAGTGTTATCCATTTGAGTGTTTGTGTGTGTGTGCGTATATGTTTTTGCATCCCGGGGTGTTAGACACATTTTCAGAATATGACACTTTCAATTACTAAATCAGCAGTTCCTTAGCCATGAATCAACCCAAAACTGTGCTGCAGGCTTGTTTCTGAGGGTTCTTCCACAACACAAGAGCATTACTTTGTTTTAATGGGCTTGGGTCCCAGTGTGACACTGGATTTATTCAATCTGGTGAAAGTTTAAGGATTTCTCTTCTAAATCACTGAGTTATAACGACAATAGAAACACTCCCCTCTGCAATATTCTCAGGCACCCTTCCCTCCATAAATCCAAAACTTCCTATCTGCCTCATTCAGTTCAGTTTATTGCAGAAGAACTTGGTTGAGGTCTTTCACAGGGCTGGGATTTCCCAAATCCACCTCGCCATGTCTCAGCATCAACACTAACTTCTCTCATTGATTCACACCTTGTTATCAGATCACTTTCACTATTTTTGACCAGAAAATACACTTTAAGAAACATGATAAATGGCAAAAGAATTGCTCTCAAGCTGAGCTCTGTGGTAGGCATAATGATTTGGATCCATGATATCTAACTGACCTGCATTTCCTAAAGCTAAACAGAGCATGTCCACTAAACTATTGTTTAAAATTCAGCAAACATACCACAGATTAAATTAAGCTTTTATGTGGTGGAACTTTTTTTCATTACACATAAAACTGTAACATAGCCTTAAAAGTAGTTTCACACATTGCCTGAGGTGAGAGTTTGTAATTAGATATTCAGACAAACCCTCAGTGGAGCTAAACCTCCATTCCTCAAGGAAGAATAATTTCTTTTGTACTATTTATAGCCATATAAAGCCATTATATGAAGCCATTATCTCCTACCAGTAATTCCAAAAATGTATATTGACCAAATGGACAAATCTGCAAATGGAGAATGGGGTGTTTTGCATTTCATGTTGCATGCTGAGAGATCATTTGTATGATGTATTTAATACATTTTAAATTATAAATCTTGAAAAGTGCAGCTCCGGGACTTTGGTTCACTAAAAGACACTGCAAGTAGGAGGGTCTGATAGTACACGGTTTAATAAAAAACTAAAAGATCCCCAAGTATGTCTTATTTGCTTTGGAGAAAAATATTTTGCATGTTTATTTCTTTTTTATTTTTGTTCCAGTCTTGAATTAGTAGACTTTCAAGTTTGTAGACAGCTAAATAATGCAGTAATGCTCTTTTGGGCCAAAACATAACACCGATGCTCGTATTCCAGAATAAGATTTGAGGGCTGAAAACAGTCTATAGCCCTCTGTTGAGCAGATGCATCATTATCTGTTAGCTATCTGAGTTCTTTTTGGCAGGTTTGTATTTATCCATTTGTCTTTTGGGACTCTGGTTTGAGGTGCATAAAAAAGCAATAAAGCAATAATTAATTAAAAGACTAATTTAAGCAACCCATTTCAAGTTTGGTGATTGAGTGAAGCTAAGCTGCTACCTTGGGATGCCTGGGTCAAAAATACAGACAAGATCAAAGATGTAACAGCTGAAAGGACTTTTTTGTAGCTTTATATATCTCAATAAAGTCAAACAAACACAGTATATCCTGTCACACTGGGTGCTGACAAACCTTACAGCTTAGGCTTTGTTCAAGCAGCTTTTCCCAAAGAATATTCATCTGTCATCCATGGTTTAACTGTGCCTTTTGTTCTCTGCACCTGAGCAAGATTTGCAAGTCTTAGTGCAAAGTATTGCACAGTAACTGGGCCCCTGCATGTGTGTGTGTATGTATGTGTGTGTGTGTGTCCAGCAGTGATCCAGTTTCCAGTCCCAGTAAAAGTAGGCCAGCCAGTTAGCCCATGAGTCAGCCTTTTCTCCTGAGAAAGGCGACTCCCTGACATGACAGCATTATTAACAGCTGACCAACACACCCTAGCTGGACACATACACGTACACATTTTTGAATTAACTTAACGCAGGCAAGTATTATCCCATATACAGCAGATGGACACACAAACGTGTACAGTATAAAACCACACAAAGGCACACACAGCTGACCCGCTGCATGTGCCGTAACACACCCAAAGTCCGCTCTCAGCAGTATTTCGTGATGGATACTGTAACCGTTTGTCTCCCCTAGTGTAAAACCGTAACGCTGAGGTCATTAGTTCTCAGCTGAATTCAAATTAATGCTGACATGAACTGTGTTGAACTCAGTGATACTGACCTGAGCTTAGTTCTGTCTTTATCGGATTAATTGTTCATTTGTTTAGATTTTTTACATAAGTGTAAGGGAAAAATCTTTGTATGGATTCAAATGGTAACATCTGCCTGACCTGACTGACCAAAACATTGACACGTTACTTTAAAAGATGCGATTTAAGCATCAGCGGCAGAGAAATTTGGACATTGAATCAATACAGATACAATGCCCCAGTTTCATGAAAGTAGAATCAAGATAGCAAACATAAAAAGCAGAGGCAAGCTTATCAAACATTTAATATTTTTCAGTGTGTATTTAACATTTATTCAAACACTGTTTTGCCTTTGTGTGAATAAATGGTATTGAGCTGAGCAACACTGAGGATAAGTGCCCTCAGTTCTTTCTAAGCTTTTTTTGTAGAGCGATTATGGGCTGGGCTGGATGAATTATTCCTCAGCTAGATCCAGATGAATCCTAAATATGTCAGTGCACCTCAATTTCCATCTACTTAATTTATGCCAGTGCTATTAAAAAATGATATAAACAAAAAGAAAATGTTCAAACGTTTCTGCTCTGTTATGAACCTTTTTTTTTCAAATCAACAAAAAAATCCTTGGAAAAACAGTCAAATTGGGTCAAATATGCAATGAAGACACTGCCCTTCTCTCAGCAATGCTTACTGGTCAGTATTTAAGAATTATTTTGACTCCACTAAATCTCTAATGAAACTGGAATTAAATTGAAAGCATTTTTAACACTAGCATGAGCTGCTAATGGGTTTCAGCACTAGTGTAAACAAAGTCTGTTTAGTGGTGATATCACTGCGTGAAGATGTGCGATGAGATGTGTTTTGAGTATTCGTTGCTGACAGACATGGCAGACAATGTGTTGAGTCTTTCTACTTTTAAAACATTTTTTGAACAGCTGGTGAAATAGTATTACTGCTCTATTCAGAGATGATGTTGTGTGTGTGTGTGTGTGTGTGTGTGATTGTCGGTATATTACTTGTCCTGGGTAGGCACACATTTTTTAGTATGTGCACTTAGACTAATATGTGTGTGCACTGTACACATGTGGTTTATGAAGCATTTTGTCTTAAACCTTGTTTCCATTAAGTCATGTCTATGAAATCTATATGACAACAGCTGATTGAAGCCTTGGTTACAACATAGAAGTCGAGACCTAAATAATTGCTACAGTATACCTTCTCCCACACACTCCAGTTTCTCCTTTTGTGTCAGCTCATTACTGCACAGGTTGATCTTTAGTAGGATGTATCTAAGGAAAATAGTCATCCCGTTGTCATGAGAAATACAAGGGAAATGAGTCATATGGGCAAACCTATATTGGAATATGTTTACATAGGTGGCCAGGCATTATACACAACTGAAATAACATATAGTAGGCGTAGATAGATTTTTTACATCACATTACTTAGAACTGATGTACTAGAGTTGACGTAATGTAAGAAATGAACCATTCATGTAACCATAGGGTGAAGATGTCATGTGCAAAGCAATGCTTTTTCTAAGTGCTCTTCCATGCAGGAATAATTTTCCAGTTATTTCCAGTTATATAATCATTATTACTGTAAAATGAACGACTTCAGACCCTTTTAATATTTTTGTGTTGTTAATATTTCCTTTAGAGCAGCAAAATCGAAAAATACATTGGAAACACACTAATGATGGGCGAACCTAATGAGGCGTCAAGTCAAAATGTCTTTTTCACTCTAAAGTGTATTGTTGTTCGAAAGCAACATTAAAGATATGAAAGTAATGAAGCTGTCTGAGGCCTCTCAGTGGGCGGTGGAATACTTTCACAGTATAAATTACCTCAGTGAACTTGGGTAATACAATGATTACGTTACTCATTACAATTTTAGCAGATAATCAGTTGCAGAGTACGTTTTGAAATAAATCTTCTACCTGAGTGCATGTGGTTCACTGCAAAGTATAATTGAGTTCCTTTCCTGGCTCCCAGTAAAAGAGTTTTACTCAGTAAAATAAAAGAAGTTGCTCTGCCTGTTTTCCATTTAAACACACAGAAAAATCAGCGCACATTAAACCAGATGACTATCTGTTGTCAGTCTCTTCACTGTGATACAAACATGAAAGCTGGGTGGACCGTGACATGTGTCTTGTGGTCATGCCAGATTTAGCTGGCATGACCAATCTGTGATGACACCATTGATGCAAATATGTAAAATGTGAGCAGATGTAGAAGCAATGTGTGTTTTGTATAACAAAGTGTGCAGCTGAGATTCCAGGTAGAGTAGGAGTGATTTATTAATAATGTCTCTGGAGCGTTGGAAAACAAAAATAAAATACATGAAAAGGACTCTAGTCACACACTTCAATGTATTCTAACATTATTTATCATAAATTATGGTATTAGTAATCCTGGCAGTGACAGGGTTGATGTACTATTGCTGGACTGTTCATCATTAGTGTAAATGAAAGCTTTGATGACATCTGCTGTTATTGTAGTTGATTTACTTTTTCAGAAGGTTTGTGTAATGTTGATATTGTTGTTGCTGCTCTGGGAGGTGATGCATGCTTATTTGCAGCCAGTCCATTCCAACCATTTCACCCGTTCTGCAAACTCTTTATCTCAGGGGCTGAAGTGAAAGTGAAGTTGATGCAAAATGAAATGCCCATGTGAGTGTCTTTATTAGTTAGTTACATGCTTGTAAGTTTGCAATTGCACAAAAATGAAGGATTAGTGGTAATTTATTTTGCTGAAAGGGATCACAAGTGAAGAACCATAAAAACATTGTGCCACAATGGATGGGAATGCTCCAACACTATAAAAGAGATAATTCAAAACATGAAAAGCCTTCACAGAAAACAACTGGCCTCATGAAAATTCGAGCACAAGACAGAACTCTGCTGTTCCTCTGCAATACATTTCCCACTAGTTACTCAAACCAGACTAAACTGCCCAAATAAATGGGGTTGTGCATGGCAATGATTTTAATTAGCACTGCCTTTGATATGTGGAAAAGTTCACATCAATAAGCTCCAGCTCTGCAACGTATGAATTTTTGGTTTGTTTGTTTTTTAACATTTCAGTAACTCTTAGCCAAGTGACTGGTCTTAGCCTCAATTATGGCTGAGTATAGTCCTGGGATGTGTCCTAGTTTCATGTTTTTACTCTAATTCTGAGTATGCAGTGCTATATGTTCGCACCACAAAATAAAATATAATGTGTAAGAAATTCCCTCACACAGACTAAAGTTTCTCAAGTTTTGAGATTGACACTATTGCCTCACTGCAATGCAGAACGTAAATGTAGAGGCGCTTCACAGCTCGGAAAAGTGAAAACAGTCTAAAAGTTGTGGTTGACAGTTTGTATGGTGTGACGTCTCTGCTGACAGCTCAGAAAACAAAGACATTCAGTCAAAAATCCCTGCTGCTGCATTTTTACCAGCTATTTCTCAAGGTTTAGGATTGACAACGATAGTTTGCTTGATGTTGATCGTTGCACACTTCATCTTCATTTACTATAGCTAGCATTATTATATTTCATACTCATGGACAAAATAGTCCATCATCACAGTACACTGCTTATACTTATAATGTATAATTTAAAGGATTAGTATTTAGTGGACTCATAGAATACACATTGTAAACAGCATTTGGCAGGTGTGAGCGCAGGGTGGTGCATGGAGTTGCTCAGCAGGCTGCTGTGAGTTTTATTGCATTTCCCAGAGAGAGGAATATGATGTCATCAACATGTGTCTCATCTACAGTTAAGACCCCATTTCCTGGTTTGACAGCTGAGCTGGGGATAAAGAGTTTTTGTTCTCACAATATACTCAAGTATACTCAAAGTCCTTTCTCGCCCTTGCACTCCCACTAGGTGTTTTCTTTTCCCACTCTGACTCTATACAAACTCACGCAAGCACACACTAATTTTTTGCCATATATCTGAACTCAACTGTGCATCAGATGTTGACATTTCATAAACACTTTTTATTTCTTTTCCACTTTTATTTATAAAATGAAGCTGTTGAAAATATAGCAAGCATTCATTGTGACTAGTGAGACATCAAACATACATAATAATAATTCATAATTTCTCCCTTTACGACAGAACACTGGCGTCTTACAACAGAATCTTTACAAGACAAATAATTTAAGGACAAAAGGAACACATCAAAGAAGAAGAAGGGAAACTATGAGGCGCTGGCTTTGTGCACAAGCTTTGGGCAGGCTTGTGAACCACACGCATATTTATACAATCTTTAATATCAAAATAATCATGAAGATCACTCTTCAAAGAATTGACTATTGTGTTTTCATGAATGCTTTGCACCGTATCTCATTCTGCCCCAGTAATGCCGTGAGAATGTGAGATACAGTCGTTGGTGGTATAACAATATTTGTCAAGGACTGAAACCCACAAAAAGGTCAGAAGAGTAAACAGGTTAAAAAAAGTCCTGAAGAAGAAGCTGGTGTTTGGGTGGATCATAATGCTGATCCTAATGTCTGTTAGAGATTTAATGTAACATGTAGGCAGCACAATTAAAAAAAAAGGCTGCTAATATAAGTTACTATTTGCTACATAGGCACCACAATAACAAAATCCAACATTTTGGTAATAGAAAAAATGCAAAACATATACTAAGCATAGTATTTTTGTAATAGAAGTCCCAATTTGCAAAATTTTAAAATGAAGGTGCCCGTCGACAGCTGTGAAGTACAACAGCCTCTTTGTGTGATGCTGTGTTGCATCTACAATACTCTGTGACCAAGTTCGTAAAATACTGTTCAGTGTTAGTGGATGAATGCATAAAGTAATGACATCAAGCAGTCAAGCCAAGTAAAGCATGCTTGTTTTCAGCATCACCAACATATTTTGTTTCTGGGTTTTTTGTGTTTTTAGCAGTTTAAAATTGTTTTAGTTGGAAGTATGATCATATAATGCTTCCTTCGTGGAAAAAAACTCAAAAGTTGTGGGTTTTCTTCCACAAAATCATGTTTTTGGAGTGACAGGTGTAACCAGTGTTGCAAAAACATCCCATGAAACAGTCCACACTACAGCTGTGGGGAGCATTTGTACCCATGTGCAATATGCTGCACATTTTATTTGACTTCTTCACTCATCGCTTTAATATGGGTCTTAATCCATTGAGACAGAAAACAGGAGTGCACCACCAGCTACATAAAACAATACTGCTTAAACACAAATTATTTGTTTATGCATGACACTGTGTCTGCACAGAGTCTTGTCACTCCTGGTATGAATACATTACAGTATAGAAAAAGTTTTTACAAAAACAAATTAAAAATACATACATGAGACATATACCTGCATATTAGTAGTGTCTTTTCTGAGATTCAACAGTATCTCCTGCACGGAGCCTTGCAGTTCCTTTGGGCATGTGGGACACGTAGTGTTATCAGCAGAGGAGTTCATTCACCAGTACAGACTGGTGTCTCTGTTTCTCTGATGCAAGTTTGTATTTTTGTGTGTGTGCGTGTGTGTGAATGTGTGTTTGCTTCACCCCATTATATAACGTGCAGGTAGGTCGCCTTGGTGTCCACTCCTATTACATTTTTTGCGGTGCATCTGTAAAATCCTGTATCCCTACTTGTCGGGTTCTGTATCACCAAGGAACCCTGAGGACTAAGGTAGCGGTTGCCATAGAGACGAGCCTGACCCATCACTCTCAGCTGTGTTAGGTCTGGTGTTTCCCAGGTAACCGTTGCCCGGGGTGTTGCTATGGTCAGGCATGGCAGTTCCACAGCAACCCCAGGGCGTGTGTAGGTCACAGGGGAGGGACCAGTTGTGATGCGTGGGGGGTAGGCGATGACAATGACGGGAACCGTGATGACAGAAACTGAAGAGGAGTCGTAACTGGTGGATCTGCAGGTGTAGGTGCCACGGTCAAACACGGAGGCTTGTTGCACTGTTAGCATTCCATCCTCTTGGACTAGGTATCGGCCAGAGTCACCACTCTCACCTCTGGACAGTACCTTGCCACCGGGCATGGCCCATGACAGGGAGCCCTGGGTATGTCCATGGGTTTTGGAAGCAACGCATGGCAGGCGAAGGGTCTCTCCATTAATGATGCTCACCAAGGGAGCTGTTCTTGTGCTCACAACCGGCTCTGAGACAGGGCCAGTTGAGCGGGGTGGAGGATCAACTGGCTGAGGTTCAGCTGGTGAAGATAGGCCTCTGTGCAAAGGTTTTTGAGTCACTGGGATTCTTGGATGAGGCCTTTCAGGCAAGACTGGCCTTAAACCTAACAACTGAGCTGAATCCAAAGAAGATCCTGAGTGAGGCGCCTCAAATAAACCAGCACTTTCCTGCACAGGTCGTTCCACAGCCGGTCCCCTTTGTGGAGATCTGGCCTCCTCCTGTGGCTCAGAGACCTCAAGCTTTACTTGTAGTCTGGTCTCTCCTCTGTCTCCTCTAACCACACAAACCAAGGTCCCTCCATCACTCACCCGCACGCCTCGCAGCTCCAAGGAGCCATTTCGGTGCACAGTGAGTCGGCTGCCATAGTAAGGAGCTGGCAACACACCATTACCAGGCAGAAGCCAGGACAGACGAGGGGGAGGGGAGCCTTGGGAGGGGCATGGCAAAAGAACAGTTTGGCCTTTCACTGCAAATTGCTTCACTGCCGTTACCACACCCACAGCTGTGTTAGTAGAGTTTTTAGCACCAACACCACCTACACTAGTACCACTTGAACCACCTCTATTCCTGCTGTTCTCATTGGTCACTCTTATATCGCTACTCCTACTAAACCCATTTCCTCTGAGTGTGCCAGTAGCAGCTCCATTATTAGACACACTGCTGCTAACAATTCCAACATTTCTAGAAATACCACTTATCCTTTCTCTGCTGGTGTTAGCATCATTATTAGCCTTTCCTGCAATGACTTCATTATTAGTAGTCCCAGGATTCCTTTCTACACTATCTCCTCTAACTGTGCTGTGACTGTTACCCACACTATTACTACTCATAATGCCAGGTCCGTTTCGATTTATACCAATGTTATCTGCTATATTCCTACCCACCCCGACACTGATTACACTGCTACCGAGCTGTGGTGTAATTCCACTGACAGGCCTGTTGAATCCATGTCGACTATCGCTCCTAAGGGCAGGATTTAAGCCACTGGTTGCTGTGTTGATGCCAGTGTTTGGTACAATGTTTCTTAGCCTGCCATTATTATCACTATAGCCATTATTGCTGCTGATATTGCTACCAAGCTTGCTTGTGACTCCATTTGTAGATCCATACTGGATTATACCAGCATTATTAATGTTGTCCCCTGATCTACTGCTATGACCATTTCCGGGCCCATTGCTAATACTCCAACCTCTTCCACCCACCTGGCGACCGAGTCCATAGTAAGGCGCCTCCACCTCCAGACCCACCACCATGCTCCTCTCACCGACTGAGTTGCTCGCTCGGCATGTATAGTTTCCTGTGTCAGTCGTTTGAGCCAGGCGCACCTCCAGGGTTCCACCCAAAACCACAACAACTCGTTCAGAATAAAATCCAGACCCGAAACTTTGTGGGATCACGCGACGTGTAGGGGAAAACCATGTCACTGTGGGGGCAGGGTCTCCTGTAGCCTGGCAGCGAATTTTGACGGTTGCCCCCTGACGTACTTTGATGATGTGGTAGCTTCTGTCATCACTGAATGTTGGTGGAGATGTCATCATAACTTTTACTTTGACCTTAAAGGGTTGAATTTGAATGAAGTAATTAATCAGCAATTGAATGAATTATTTTTTTTTAGTTACATGTGTTTTCTGTGTAATTATTTGAATAAGTAATACCTAAATAATAAAATAAATGAATATTCTTAAAGTCCAGTGTGTAGGATTTAGTGGCATTTAGCAGTGTAAATGCAAAAAATGAAAACACCCTTATCTAGGGCCGGTGTTTGGTTTGTCCCTCCTGGGATACTGTAGTAACATGGTGGACGCCATGGAAGCTGACCCGTGGCATCAGTAGATATACACGGCTCATTATCAGGTAAGAAAAGCATAATGATTCCTATACTATACACTTATGTATACATAGTTATGAATATTATATTCCATTTCTGCCAATAGACCCTCCTAAATGTTAAACACTGGAACTTTAAGTCTCCTGGAGAAAATATTTTTCTTACCTTCATGGTGTCTTGACCTCCTTGATTCTCAGCATAACACGTATACTCTCCTTCTTCTCCCATGCCCACTGCTGGAACCAGTAATGTCCCATTGTCAAACACAGTCAGCCTTCGTGCTCGCCCTCCTCTGTCTTCCCCCTGCAACACGCTGTTCACCATGGTTCCATCTGGCAGGCTCCAATGGACAGATGGGTCAGGCAGTCCTGATGCCTGGCAGTCAACCTGCAGGGAACAGGATCATTACTGCTATAATTTAAAAGTTTTTATGGCTTAGATTTTGATGAAAGCTGAACTGTGTGTTTGTTCTCTTTGAAATGAGGAGTGATACTGCATATTTAGGCTTTTTAAGGTTGCATTTAGGTCCTTAAAAAAGAAACGCACAGTAGTGAGCAGCCACAAATTTAGATGCCTTCAAAAAACACCATTTAAAGCTCATAAATGTTTAAATGAAATGTAAAATTAAGGGGAACAAATTCCCACAATAATACTATGTCCTCTTTCTTGAATTTCACCCTGCTTGACATTATTTTTCATTGAGCTGTTAAATATTCATGTCTGAAGTACTATCCCCTGAAGGCCACTGTTGATGATTCATAACAGACCTGACAGGTCTTTCTTTTCTTTTTGAGTAAAAAAGTATGAAGGGCTTTTTGATCAAAAAACAACCACAGACACAGCTTGAAGCTGTAGAGGTTTTTGGCGCCACATCCAGCGATAGAAGACAACACTTATCATTGCCTTGTAAAAAAAAATAAAATCTCAGAAGTGGAGGTGTAGGAGATGGACTGTTTCAAATTTTAGGCAAGGTTCATGTAGAAAAATGCCTGCACATCAAATGTATGGATTGAATGAATAGACTAACTGGCATCATAATAATCATGCTACATTTACCTATTGATTGCTGTTGTTTATTTATTGAATAAACATCATTACTGGAAGCAAGGCAGAGATAAGATGATTTGTCATAGCACACCTTTAGTGGTTTTCCAAACAACACCATTTGATTGAGTGGCTGCTTGGGCTCAATCTTGGCAGGTTTGGTAGCCACAGAGACGCGCAGGAGGCGGTAATCATCTGCGACCTTGTTGCGTGCGATACAGAGGTAGTCTCCAGCATCCTTCTCTGTTACTGCCTGGACTGACAGGGTGCCATTAGGATACACCTTCAGACGTCGGTCAAAACTGAAATTCAAATGTAGACAAACACACACACAAATCACAAAAAGATAGACATATAATGAGACACAATACCAACAGAATTACTAAAATATATAATTATACAACCAACACATTTTAAGTGATCTTTTTTTTCTCACCTGAAGTGCATGTCCACCAGTTTCCTGCTGGGAGTCCTCCAAATGATGATGGGTGATGGGTTGCCAGTTACAGAGCAGTGGAGCTGCAAACCCCCCCCATAGTGGACAGCAGTGATGGAGGATGATGTAGAGACAATACGGGCTTTACTGAAAGGGGAGACTGGCAACGGATGCAAAACAGCTGAGATTCTGCTTTTGTCAGAGTTGGAAGATGATGTAACTCTTGTGTTGTTTACGATGCCGGGTAATACTTTGGTGTTATTTGTAGGCACTGTGGAGGGTGGGGAGAGAGGGGAGGGTATGGTTTTACTGATCTTGGTCAAGTGTGTGGGGGAGGCAGTGACTGTTTTATCGATTTTAGAAGGTGAATTAGTGGAATCGGGTTGGTGAGGGTAAGAAGATGAGTGAGAAGAGCTGGGGTTGAGCGGCAAGGTTCTGGATCTATCAAAGGGCGATGGAGGGGAGAGTCTAGAGGAGTTCAGTGGATTTGAGGAATGCCTGGGGATGGACAAAGTTTTGTCTTTATGGAGTGAAGATGAAGGAGATGGTTTTGCAGTAGCAACAGCTTTTGCCCCTTCATTTCTTGCTCCTCCCTCTCTTCTTCCTCCTTCAGCCCCCCCTTCAATTTCTACCCTCACTGTCCTCTTACTGGCTCCAACAGCATTACTTGCTGTACACTCGTAATTCCCTGAGTCCTTAGGCCCAACTTTTCGAATATGCAGCGTCCCATTGGGCAAGACAAAAAGGTTGCCATGGAGAAACTGTGATGGACGAACCAGAATTCCATCTGGGATTCTCCAGCGCAGAGTTGGTGGTGGGGCACCTCGGGCAGAGCAGTGAGCATAAACAGGCATCCCTGGAGACAAGAGCAGGTGTTCCTCTCTGGGTTGCTGTATTACCGGGGGCAATGAGGACACATGTACACGCACAGAAGCACTGGCAGCACCTGCTGAGTTGGAGGCCACGCAGCGATACACTCCTCTGTCACTCGGTAAAGTTACCGAGATATGGAGGGTTCCATTTGTGTCCATATTTATGCGACTGGTGGAGACGGCAGAGGAGGTCAGGACAGAACGATCTGGAAGAACCCAAGAGAGCAGAGGGGTGGGAACGCCATCCGCCTGGCACTCCAAGTGCACATCTCCACCCTGATGAATGGTAGCTTCTCTGTAGCTAGCCAGCTGCATCCGAGGAGGGCGGGTCCACACTTCCAGGGTTGTTAGTAATCTATCACGGAAAAGTAAAGCACATAAACATTCAATATAGAAACACATAAAGAAATTTAAAGCATTTCAAATATACATTTAAAATGCAAACAAACCATAAATATCATATGACACATTTAGAAGAACGCCCTAAGGCATCGAACAAACAGATTTCATACAGAAAGATTTGCAGATGACTTTAGGCAGCTAATCAAGTTGATATGTAATTGTGTTTGCTCATGAAAATACCAGCACAACATACATTATACTAATTAAATTGCAGTTTGCCTTAGGCCTATGTAAATAGAGAAAATATTGTGTCCCATGGTCATTATAACTGAATATACAGTACAATAATATTCATAACAGGTATCAGTAGTCTCACCTGTCGCGACCCAGAAAGCTGTGTGCACTGCAGATGTATGTGCCCCTGTCCTGCAGCTGAACATTCTGGATAACAAGGGTGCCATTTGGCAAGACCTCAAAACGCTGAGCCCTGGAGTGGATTGACATCACTGCTCCTAAGAGAGAGAGCGAGAGAGAGAGAGAGAGAGAGAGAGAGAGAGAGAAACAGTCAGGCAGACAGACGGACAGGCAATGAGAGCAAGCAGCAGTAGTGGAGACAGAGTGGGGCAAACAGAGACAAATTGCTAAAGAAAGTTAGCGAATGAGTAAGAGACACAGGAAAGGAGGATCAGGGACATGCCGAGTGGCACAGCGTGAAGTAAAGTCAGTGATGCAGTGCACAAAATGTTCCATTACTTTCTTGCAATATGTTTTTCCCACATGGCAAATAAGAGAAAAGCCTATTGTGCGCATGCCAGTGTGTAATACTGGGTGTTAATGGGTTATTTCATCAGTGTAAAATGTGTTCATATTCACTCAGTACATAGTATACTAAAGCTGACATTGATTTTCTTTCAAATCTGTGACTTCAGAATTTAAATACAAACCTTTATTTATTCTGCAGTCTGCAGTCTGCACTGTCTAATTATATAAATGACTAGATATTATGTATGTATATGTATATTCACACATATAACTGACTTCTGGATCGAAGACAAGCATTTCTAGTTTCCCAGCATAATTAAAAATATAGGCCTGGCGCTTGTTCCTTAGAGCAGGTTTACTGACTAATCTGGAACACTTTGCTGTGTTTCATCATACATCAGTCCATGAACCAGACCTGACAGCCCTCCAGGTGGATATTTAACAAAAATGTAAACTGAAGATAAAACTGAACCCTGAGTCCTGAACCCTACAGTCATGCATTTCAGGCTATTTCAAATATGTGCATATGTGTCTATGCTGAAATAAATGTGTGCTCTTTGCTGCACTGTGTGTACCTGTGGCAACCTTGGTCCATGTAATGGAGGGCTTCGGCTCTCCTTGAGCTTCACAAGCCAGCCTGGCTGTGCTTTCTGCGGGGAACGACACTGTCCTGATGTGTGGGTCTGCAATCCTCGGTCTGGATCTTACAACTGGGGCCTATGAAAAAGATTTAGAAAACAAATTTTAGTGGCCAATAAAGTAATGAATTATTTAATGTATAACTAGAGGACATCTGAAAGCATGGTTCCACTAATGAAAGTTATTCAACTTCCAAAACTGCAGAATTGGGTTTCTCTTGAAGTTTTTTTTTTTTTGTATTAAATAGCAAGTGATTGGAGGACCTTTAAGTGCACAACAACTTAATTGCAGTGTATTTTAACATTTAAAATGAGAATTGTTTAATATCAAAAATACCAAACCTACATTGCCACCACAATGTATTCAACAGATCCTTTTAAGTGTTATCTGTACAACCATTCTGAAGGTGGACGTTAACTTAACAACTTAAAAACTGAGAGGCACTGACATTAATATGTAAGCTCTTCAAAAAGTTTTTATAAAAAGTTTGTTACTAGTTTTTTAAGTATTGTTGTGAAATAGGATCACTAACACAATGTAGCATTACTGTGATCCCAGACTTAAAATCATTGGTGGTGGACTGGTGATTTGATCTGCAGAGGCTTGCCAACAGAGCTCTAGAAATTAATTAGCAATTGATTATTTCAAATCCCCTGGGATTAGGCTCTCAAAACACATAATGTTCTTGATTATGGGACATATGTTTTCTATCTCTTCTTTATATCTGGAAAACCATTAAATTGAAGAATTGTCACAAACATCCCTTAGGTTTATTAGCAGGTCATGTGGATACAGATTAGACTATTTTCAGATCTATTGTGCATCTCTGCTAAGCTCCTGCCCAAGGGCTTGCAATGTGTGTGTGTGTGTGTGTGTGTGTGTGTGTGTGTGTGGGTGGGTGTGTGTGTTGTT